ATATCGAACACACAATGGATAGCTTGCCAGGCTCTTCCGTGCTGGTGGAATACTCTCGGTAGCTTGCCAGTCTTTCCGAGAGTGATAGAGGCTTTTGGGGCGACCTATAATCGCTCTCGTAGGTGTTACCATATTTGAACCCTATCAAATAGCACATTAAAAAATGAAAATAATAATTGTCAGAGGCTTGTCATGAAAAAGGAGTCCCCTTTCATTGGTGGTAGCAGTGTTTCTGACTCAGTCTCTATTGAAAAGAATATGGAGATTCCATCACAAAATAAGACTAGAATTCCTACATGACCCAGCAGTTTGGCCACATCTTATTATTTATCCCCCAAACATGAAAGCACTAATTTAAAACAATAATTTACACTACATATATAAAAGTGTTTAATTCAGTAATCAGGATATAGAAACATCACAAATGTCCAACTATAGATAAATGAAAAAGAAACTGTGGTTATATATAAACAGAATGAAGTATTATACAGTTATAAAAATTAAACCACACAGTTTATGACTACATGCTTGGAAATGGAGAGTATCATGCTAAGTGATATAAGCCAGAGGTAGAATGAATACCTGATGATCTCACTCATTTGTGGCATATAGATATAAAAAGTAGACAGAATTCAAAACTGACAAACTCATGGCCTCAGATTATAAAAATTATTGACAGTGAGAGGAAAGTGGCCAGAGATGGCAGTTGCAGAATAAAGATCAGACAAGAGATGACATAAGCATAATGTTGGAGAGTCACTGGCATTTAGATAGTGGTGCTATGCAGTAACATCGTACAATACAATTAACTTTAATACTATTATAATCAAAGTACCTAAATTGTAATTTAGAAAATTACAAAGAAGACAAAGCAGTTAGGGTACCATTAGATTGCCTTAGAGATAAGAGGTAGAGTGTATAGTCACAATCTAGAGGCAAATCAAGTGTTGCATTTGAGAGATTTAAAACAAAATGGTTGGTAGGACATTGGGATTAAGACACTTGCTTTGCATGTGAACTAACTTGTTTAGATTCATGGTACCACATATGGTCTCCTGAGGACCACTAGGAGTGAACCTTGAACACAGAACCAAGAATAAGCCAAGAAAACTTAGGTGTCTCATCCCCCCCCCCGCCCACACACACACAGGTAAAAAAGAAAGACCATACACAGATGATTTATAGGGTTCTGACCTGCAGAATGAAGCCAGCAGTGATATCTTGAACTGGATAATCCTAAAAGTGAAATGGAATGACTCAGTTAAGAAAGATTATACAGTGCTTTTGAAGATACAGAGTTTGAATCACCTTTAAGAAATTCAAGATCTTTCTTTGAAGAGCCCAGACTGGCGAGATGTATTTGACAGTAATTGAACAAATGCATGATTGACATTGCCAAGGAGAACACATAAAGTTAGAAGAGTAGTTAGTGAGCTTGACAAGGTTCTTTTAGAGAAGCAAACAGTTGAGACCTAAATACAAATGGATGCTCTGGTGAAGGAGGTCAAGGCAGGACCAGAGAAGCAGTATAAACAATCCTGTTCAGAACCGTGCCCCAGAAAATCAAATGCCTCGGAATCAGCCTAACTAAAGAGGTAAAGGACCTCTACAATGAAAACTACAAAACGCTACTCCATGAAATAATAGAGGACACGAGGAAATGGAAACATATCCCCTGCTCATGAATAGGAAGAATTAACAATGTCGAAAAGGCAATACTCCCCAAAGCATTATAAAGATTCAATGTGATCCCTATAAGAATACCCATGAAATTCTTCAAAGAAATAGATCAAGCACTCCTGAAATTCATATGGAACAACAAACACCCATGAATAGTTAAAGAAATTCTTGGGAAAAAGACATGGGTAGGCATTACCCTCCCCAAGCTCAAACTCTACTACAAAGCGGTAATAATTTAAACAGCATGGTACTGAAAGAAAGGCAGGTCCTCAGACCAATGGAACAGGGTGGAATATATGTACACACAACCCCAAATGTATGAACATCTAATCTTTGATAAAGGAGCAATAAATGTGAAGTGGAGCAAGGAAAGCCTCTTCAACAAATGATGCTGGCATAACCGGACAATCACATGCAAAAAAAAAAAATGGGCTTAGACCTTGATCTAGCACCATGCACAAAAGTCAGATCAAAATGGATTAAAGATCTCAACATCAGGCCAAAATCCATAAGATACATCGAAGACAAGGTAGACAAAACCCTCCACGATATTGAGGCTAACGTTATCTTCAAAGACTACACTCCACTGACCAACCAAGTGGAAACAGAGATAAACAAATGGGACTATTTTAAATTAAGAAGCTTCTGCACCTCAAAAGATATTTTAGTGATCAGAATACAAAGACAATCTACAGAATGGGAAAGGATATTTACCCAACACGCATCTGATAAAGGGTTGATATCAAGGATATACATAGCACTGGTTGAACTCCACAAGGAGAAAACATCCAACCCCATCAAAAAATGGGGCAATGAAATTAACAGAAACTTTCTCAAAGAAGAAATCCGAATGGCTAAAAGGCACATGAAAAAATGCTCTACATTACTAATCATCAGGGAGATGCAGATCAAAACAACAATGAGATATCACTTCACACCACAGAGACTGGCCGACATCCAAAAGAACAAAAGCAACTGGTGTTGGCGCGGATGTCGCAAGAAAGGTACTCTCCTTCACTGCTGGTGGGAATGCCGACTGATTCAGCCCTTTTGAAAAACAGTATGGACGATTCTCCAAAAATTAGAAATTGAGCTTCCATTTGACCCAGCAATACCACTCCTGGGAACATAGCCTGGAGAGGCAAAAAAGTATAGCTGAAATGACAACTGCATTTCTCTGTTCATTGCTGCACTGTTCACAATAGCCAAAATCTGGAAAAAAACCTGAGTGCCCGAGAACAGATGACCAGTTAAATAAACTTTGGTACATCTATACAATGGAGTACTATGCGGCTGTTAGAAAAGACGAAATCATGAAATTTACATAAAAGTGGTACTACATGGAAATTATCATGCTAAGTGACTCAGAAAGAAAGGGACAGACATAGAAAGATTGCATTAATCTGGGGAATATAAAGTAACAAAATAGGAGACTAACATCCAAGCATAGTCAAAATAAGTACCAGGAGTCTCCATGGCTTGAAGGCCAGCTGCACATGCTAGGGGAAAGGGCAGCTCATACAGAGAAGGGAACACCAAGTAAAGGGTGTTGTGAGGATCTTCCCAGGATGGGAGATGCATGCTGATAGTAGACTATAGACTGAACATGATTGCCACTCCATACCTCTTTTGCAAACCTCAGCAATCAAAAGGAGAGAGAGAACAAAAGGGAATGCCCTGCCATAGAGGTGGGATGAGATGGGGGTGATGGGAGGAGTGGGAGGGTTACTGGGATCATTAGAGTTGGAAAATGGGCACTGGTGGAGGTATGGGTACTTGATCATTATATAACTGAAACCCAAGCACAAAAACTTGTAAGGTCAGCAACTGTACCTCATGGTGTTTCACTAATAAAAAAATAATAATAAATTAAAAAAAAACAGATACCAACAGACATGGTTACCGCTGAAGGCAAAAAAGTGATTCCAGAATCAGGTAGAACAGCTTCATCATTTGAGAGCTTTTCTGCTGGATTTTGCTCTGTGGAGGACTTTCCACTCTGGTAAGGGACAGGATGAAAGACATATTGGAGAATGTTTAATACACAGGTGGAAGAAAAAGAATGTATTAATGACCGTTTAGAAGTTCCTGAAAAAACGGAGAGCTACAAAATGAAACCAATAGGTAATAAGTGAAACCCATAGATGATATTTAGAGTTAGAAACTGATGAGAGAATCAGTGTCTCTAAGTGATGTTTGGGATGATGTATTTGAAAGTCACCTGGAAAACTTTCTGTTAAGGCAGAAGATTCAGAACCCAGATGGAAGAATTGAACTTACTGAGGGCGCAAACATTCTCTCATTCTGGTCAATGAACAGATAGAGACATAGTTCAGTGAGTGAATTTGTTTAATAGAAAGACATTCATGGCTTCTGGAAAAAAGCTCTAATTTTAATCTTTATAGACATTGGAGAGTGTGGTAGAGGTGGAAGACCAAGGTTCTTATGGTGATTTAAAATATATTTGGCAGAGGTTTGCATAATTGGGAAGATTATCTCCACTAGGACAGACACTAATTTTATCTGGAGAGGGGTTGACAATATGGATGGGTAAAATGGCAGAAGAGCAACACATTTATTTAAAGTAAGGTAAAAAAAAAGGTAAAGGCCCTCCCGTTGATCGTCGATTTGCTCGAGCGGGCCCAGTAACGTCTCCATTGGAGACTTTGTTGTTACTGTGTCTGGCATATCGAATACTCTCGGTAGCTTGCCGGGCTCTCCGAGAGGGGCGGAGGAATCGAACTCGGGTCGGCCATGTTGGCCGCTTGTAAGGCGAACGCCCTACCCGCTGTGCTATCACTCCAGCCCTATTTAAAGTAATAAAAGAAACACATTTTAGTAGAGAATGTTGCATATTATACAAATACATGTCTATATTAAACTGTATTTTCCTATTTGTTATTTTTGTTATATACTATTTCTACTAATGAATTCTGAATATGCATTTTATGACTTTGTACAGTTTTGTTTTAATGTGATACAGAAAGCCATATATTGCAGTCTAGAATTAGGCTAAATTGGAATATTTATGAAAAATGCATAATGAAATTCTAATAGCTTTTAAAACTACTTCTTTTCCATTTAATTATCTGATTCTGTGCTTAATGTTGTAGTTTTCTTGACTTATGTACCTAAAATAACAATGTTCAGTTTACTCTGGCAGTTTCTAATTAGAGGTGAGTACTGTCTTGAGAAGTTTGTAGTTGTGATTTTACATCTAAATTGTACTTTTTCAGCCTATGTTTCAACACAATGACTAAATACGAAGTAGAGTCTGAGATTTTTGTAGTTAAAAGATTGTATTTTTTTTAATACAATAGAGAAAGCAGAGCCAAAAGACATTGGGAAAAAGAGGAGTAAAGACGGAGAAAAGGAAAAGGAAAAATACAAATGGTCAATCCATGGCTCAAGAACCTCATCCGAAGGCCACCACTCTCTACAGTCTGTTTCAGAATTTAAGCAATCAGTCTTCGAGAGTAACTATTCTAGCTTTTCAGTAAACTGGTGGAGAACATGAAAAATTACAAGAGTAGTGTTTATGCTAAGGAAGGCACACCAAGAAACTTCATTGCCTGCTAGTATAGAAATATGTCATATATTGTAGTTCTTATATTATAGAATGTATTATGTGATTATATAAACATATAATTCTATTTATAAATATATATTATTTTATAGCATATAATATATATTAGTATACATCTTCTACTTTATAAACTATATATAAATTATTTATAGATAATATACATCGTAATTGAAATATATACATAATATTTAATATTAATATTAATATTAATATTAATATTTAATATAATGATTGAAACAGCTCCATTTACCTCTAACATTCTGCTTTATCTGGCTTATTTACTTGATTTCTTAATGCTTTATTATGATTTTTGTGAGGACCTAATGATAATTGTGGCTTTTTCTTGACAGAACTTGTTAAAGAAATTTGTTACTAATTTATTTTATCTTTTCTTTTTTTACTGAAGCATATATATTTAAGCATATATATTTAAAGGAATTTACTTTAGAGAAATGTGAAAGGAGAGAAAGAGAGCTGTGTTCACGAGAGAACACAGGTTCCTCCAGAGGAAAAAAGAGCCACAACGTGTCACTAATTCTATCTTTTATTCTTCACTAAAAATTATCTCCTGTATCATGGCTTTAAGTGATTTTTTTAAAGGGTTGGCATAGTATTCCCCAAGTAACTAATGACTTACAATCTTTTTTTGAAAATCACTAAATCTTTACTGGGTTCCTTTGTGAGAGCTAAATGAGCAATAGTTCCATTTCTGCAAAGTTTACAGCTTATGGGGCTGAAGTAGGATCTTCCAGGTTCAATTCCAGACACCACATGACCCCTGAAGCATCACCAGATACAGTTTGGAGGGTCCTGAGTACCGCCAGAGTGCCTATGGCGTCCCTAGTACTGCAGGACTGCAAGAGCATCTTATTCTCTGGTCCTTGCTCTGAACTGACAGCCTGGTTGTCTGAGAATCAATTGCTGGTAGAGTCCTAGGACTTCCTGAGCACCGATTGGGAGAGAGTGACTGTGAAAGCAAGAGTGAAAGCAAGACTGAGAGAGAAATATTCATAGTCTAATTCAATCTCAAAATTCAGAATGTAGTTCAGACTTGAGGCCATGGAGTAAAACTGGGTTCATGCCTCACGCAATGAAAATATACAAAGTTAAAATTTTTGATGTATAAAGTCTATATATGTTTGTAATAAACTTAATCCATTCCAGGGCAATTTTTTAAAGAATATATGGTCATATATTTTATGGTTATAAAGATATTTTCTAATAAGCATTGTCTAGTACATTTCAATTTACATGTATGAGTTTTTAAAGGAATAGAATGAAAGTTTTAAAAATAAATGCAAGAGGAAAATTAATTGCCTAACACTATTTTTGCCAGGATCACAAAATATCAAAAGCAGACTGAGTCAAATGTGGTAATTTAGGAATGCAAAGAGACATAAACAAATAACTGATGCTTTAAAGCAAAATCTACAAAGATGAAGTATTTCAAACTAAGTTATGTTTTTCTTCTTTGTGGAAGGTCCATTTGTTCACTCTTTCTTCTTGAAATTACAGTCTCCGGGACTTCCTTAAATTGAAAAACTTCTGTGAAAGTTAATAGTGTCTCAATTTTCAAATTATTCCGATTATTATTATTAATTTTCAAATTATTATTATTAATTTTCAAATTAACACGATCACTCATAGATCATCCTAAATTCTGCTGACTGATAGCTAGAAATTTTGCATAGTTACATTTCTACAGTGATGGAATGTTTTTTTTTAAGTAATTAAATGAACAACTATGAAGGCAAACTAATAAGTCAGTATAAGTACATATTTGATTCTTATCATTTACAGGATACATTTAAAAAAAGTTATTTATCTTTTTTTTAATTAGCAAAGATAAGTTTATTCATAAATTTGGACTATCTGGGAGGACCTACTGACTGATAGGAACTCAGGAAGTAGAACCTCAGTGATACAATTTATGTTTGGCATTATAGGTTCTGCATTATCACAGTCTCCTGATATGGCGGTATATGCTACCTACACACCGCTCTACTTGTTTGAAAAGAAGATCTTTGCACTAGAGAATATGGTAAGCACTTTAGACAGGAAATGCAATATTACTTATTGTGAGACTTTAATTCGATGATAATTCTCTTCCTGGATAATATTTCTAGAGATTATCTCAACAACAAAAATTTAAAGTAACTCACATCCAGAGCTGGTAAACATCCAGAGCTGCTACAATCTCTTTATATCTTAAAATAAAAGAGACAAAAAAAGTTAATTAATTTTTTTTTCTGATAGATGTCATAACTTACAGAAACGTACAACTGATAGGTAAAGGGAATAAAACTAAAATATTGATAGCTTCTATACCTAGGCACTGCTAACATTTTGGCATATAATTGTTTATTTTCTATGTATACCCATGGGCTTCCAAAAATATTTTTAAATAAAATAGTTTTTGTTGAGAAATTTACTTAGAAAAATGTAAGGGGAGAAAAGAGAGGAAAAAATGTTCAAGTGAGGACATGGGCTTCTTCAGAGTGGAAAAAACAGAGGTGAATAATGCATCTTCAAGAGAGAATGTGGGCTTCTCTGGGGTGAAAAATAATTTTCCAAATCTTTTATCTTTTGTTCTTGGACATACATTGTAGCACTGTCCTTCCACTGTTTGATTTGCTCCAGCAGGCACCAGTAACGTCTCCATTGTGAGACTTGTTGTTACTGTTTTTGTCATATCAATTACGCCTCGAGGAGCTTGCCAGGCTCTGCCGTGTGTCAGAATACTCTCAGTAGCTTGCCAGGATCTCCAAGAGGGACTGAGGAATTGAACCCAGGTTGGCTGCATGCAAGGCAAACATCCTACCCTCTGTGCTAATAGTCAGTTATTTATCTCTTTCACTGAAAAAAGTGTTGCATGCAAGATTACTCTTCAATCTATTTAGACAAATATACTATTGCATTGGGCTGGAGTGATAGCACAGCGGGTAGGGCATTTGCCTTGCACGTGGCCTATCCAGATTTGATTCTTCCGTCTCTCTTTGAGAGCCTGGCAAGCTACAAAAGTATCCTGCCCACGCAGCAGAGCCTGGCAAGCTCCCTGTGGCCTATTCGATATGCCAAAAACAGTAATAACAAGTCTCACAATGGAGACGTTTTGGTGCCTGCTCGAGCAAATCAATGAACAATTGGAGGACAGTGTTACTATTGCATTTGGAGCTTATTAAATAAATCACCCCATGGGGAACATTATTCCCTGAATTTCATGTGTTCCAAAACCACTACATTAGTATATAGGAAGGTCAGATGGGGCAATAAAGTACTTATTTATAAATGTTTATTTGGTTAATTATAAACATCTGAGTACTAAAAACAATGGAATTTGATTGAAACATAAAAATCAAATTTGATGATTATTACATTTTACTCTGTATTATATTTACTTCGAGAAGATTTACTCAAAGGACTTAGTTTTTCTGCTTCTACCATTCCTCCTCTTCTCCTTCTTTTGAAGATAGAAAGCTTTTTTCTTTCTGAAATAGCCTTCTTAAAATGGAGGTGGGTAATAGGTAAAATTATCAATATAGAGGTAGCAAAAGGTCTTATGCTATAATTCCAAAGTTAATAAGCATTGTGATGGCTAAATTTAAGTGTATTTCTAGCCCTCTCCCATCTTTATCCTCTTGTTAAGACTAGATAATACGTAGAAATGGTTTAAAGAAGCTGATCCCTTGAAGAACCTCCCAGTGTCTAAATCAATTAAGAGATAGACTTCAAGGATAACACTGACAAGAGCATCATGAACACCCAGTCTTTGCTTATGATTATTTTTTTTCATATTAGCTGTTAGGATGAACAAGTTTACCTGATAAATATCAGACTGTAATGGGAATGCCATATTTTATCTATCTATCTATCTATCTATCTATCTATCTATCTATCTATCTATCTGGACTACACCTGCTGTGTTTAGGGCTTAATTTTGGTTCTGTGCTCAGGGATCATTCCTGGCAGCACCACGTATTGAACCAGGTTGGCTGAATGTAAGGCTGTAATATCTCTCCACTTCCTCTAAGTGTCACATTTCATAAGTGAAGCTATGGAAAATAAATCAGTCTAATGGAATTTTTCAGAAAGGACTACCTTGTCAAAATTATAGCTAAAGTGAAACTAGCATGTAAAATAGACAATATTTATTTAACTAGCCAATATTTAACAATATTTATTTAACTGGCATGTAAAACAAAGACAACAATTATTTAACTAGCCAATAAAGAATGCAAGAAATAACAGTTTTTGTAAAGGAACGAGTTGTCACAAATTGGCCTGTTTTTTCCTTAGCCTCTTATGGATGAATATTCCAAATGAGTTGAATTTTACTTGAATAGGTGATTTGGAGATTTTTAAAAAGACTTCAACTGACTTAAAGCCCCTACTTTACATCCTTTCAAATGTTTTGAATTTGGACTTGCTGAAAGTCTGACTGAAAGTATCAGAATTATTCAGTATTTCTTGAGTGATTTATTTGTAAGATTTCACCAAAATTCTTAATGTTCTACATGTCACTTGGTCCCTAATTCCAATCCAAGAAAAATTGAAATCCTATAAGAAAGTTTTTCACCATGAAAATATAACTTTTTCACATGACTTTGAAGTACTGTATAGTCTGTTGGAAAAAATTAAATATGAAAAATTGGCTTGCATACCTTAAATCAGGCAACTAATTTTATAGATCATTTAAACAAAAACTTGGTCTTAATACCATGATTATGGTATTAACTAAATTAAATATTAACATAATTATTATCATTTAAGTATTAACGCTGTCTGTCCTCCCGTTGTTCATCGATTTGCTCGAGTGGACCCAGTAACGTCTACATTTTGAGACTTGTTGTTACTGTGTTTGGCATATCGAATACGTCACGGGTAGCTTACCAGGCTCTGCCATGCAGGCGAGATACTCTTGATAGCTTGTTGGGCTCTCTGAGAGGGGCAGAGGAATCGAACCCGACTCAGCCGGGTTGACTGTGCACAAGGCAAATGCCCTCCTGCTGTTCTATCGCTCCAGCCCTAAGTATTAACATAAATACTAAAATCATTTTGTTTTCTAAAGTTCAGAAGAGAAATTAAGTAAAGTACAACTTTGGTTGCCTGTATAGAAGTGAAAATATGGAGACCCAAATTTTATAACTTTCATTCTATCTAGAAATTATTCAACCTATCAATATTACTTTGGACATGACTTCTACTTTGGATAATTCTTAGTGCAATTTCTATATAATGTACTTATAAAATGTTTTGTTTGAAGCATTGTCTTACTAAATAACATTAATACATTTCCGTTTGCATGGAAAGGATGATATTCAAGTGTCCAGAAAAAAATGGTAGAAATTGTGAATTTAGAGTTTAGAGCTCTATGAAAAGAAGTTTTTTTTCAGCCACTGTAAGACAATTTTGGACCTTTCAACACTATTTTCTCACAAAAGTAATACAAAGAGGAAAGATTTTTTTCTCTTTTTAATTGGGCATTTTAAAAATGAAATCAAATAAAATTATTTTTGCTTTGCTTATTTTCAGCTCTTCTAACTGACGTTCCTAAATGCAGTAGTGCACTGATTTACTTTAACTTACAACTCTTGATTTTTACAATTATTAATTAATCGCTGCCTAAAAAATATGCTGTCTCTTGAATACTCCTTGTTATTTTATGTCATGTTGAAATACAAATTGAGCTTTGGGAAATAGTCACAGAGCAAGGCTGCCTCTAGCTTTTGTGATAGGTGAATTTGCCCTGTAGATTTTGGTAGGTGAGTTAAGGGGCCTCATTTATAATTTGCTTCATAGACCTGTAGTTTCAAGTATTGTCATTTTTACTAAAGTCAATGATGCAAGATCACTAGGAAGAAAAACCATATTGGAAAAATTAATTTTAACTTTAATAGACTGATGGTTTCATTTTAATTCCAATATTTCAACTTGACCTTGTGAATATAAAATTTTTCTTTTTGTAAAAATGACTTAAACTTCCACATAACTTGAATATTTTTTTCCTTACTGCATCTTTCAGTCACTAATCAGCAACTGAAAGTTCTGTCTAAATCTTATTCTGAATTGTTCCCAAATGCAGTGAGTTCAGGAGAGCTGCACGATTTGGATATGGGGGAAACGTTGAATATGGGGGACATATGCCTGGGAGAGAAAAGACAGCCCCTGGCTTCCAGGAATGAGTTCATTGTTTTCCATTGTCAGTGTGATCCTAGGGACTTTTCTCTGAGGGAGTGAGCGTTTCAAGGGAGAGGAAGAAAACATAGACAGGGAAGCTAGGATGTTTTGATTGATCTGCCACACTGAGCAGTAGAGATTTTTTTTTAATGTGCTACGGTTAAAGCTAACCATCACAGGCTACGCATATAGCATCTGTGTTAGAACTTAAATCTGTAAAAGAGTGATTGATGTGTTGCATTTTATGCAATGCCATAGAATATTGAATTTTCAGAACTGAAAAGTGACTTCCTGTTCTCTTTTGTAATTTTGTAAAGAAAAGGCCCTAGAGAAAATAAAATTTGCAATTGGGAGTGGTGCTTTCTCTAGGAAGACAGAGATATGGGTAGTTATTCTGCCTTTTTAAAAAAATCACTATATATAGAAGGAATGGAATTCTTACAATGTCAACCATTATTTTACATGTCTTGCGACCTTATAAGAATCTTTTATACTTTATTTCCACCATTTAGGCCAGTTCTGCTGAGAAGCTTAGAGAATACGGTTTTTCCCACGCCTACAGTCATCCTGTACTGTTGACTAGAACTCGATCCTGCCCTCTTATTCCACCCCCAAAGCCATCTCAAGTACCTGCCTGGAAACTCTTTCGCCAGAAGAAAGAAACTGTTATAACAGATGAAGCTCAAGGTATGGTTCATATTCTTGGACAAATTTTTTCCTAGTAAATACTTATTTAAAAGTGGCAGGAGGCGTACTGGGAACATTGATGGTGGAAAATGCACACTGGTGGAGGGATGGACATTCAATCACTGTATGACTGAAACTCAATCATGAAGGCTTTATAACTGTATCTCACAATAATTCAATTAAAACAATTATTTAAACTAAGTCTAATAGTTTCATGTGTAATGAGCAATGTATATCACAGTAAATCACCCAATAATTGTTAGGGCACAGATCGTGATCTCCCTTTAACGACAAAGAGATTCCAGAGACTGCAAACAGCAAGCAAGGTTTATTGTAAGACTGGCTAGCCAGGGTCAAGCCGCCTACACAGACACGCAGGTCAGTTAGGTGAGGCAAGACCCCGAACTTCTTCAAAGGGGATCTTATATAGGCCTTCACTGGCCGTTACAGCAAAGCCCGCGCATTTCATAGCCAATAGATTTGTAACATCATATGCTTTCTTAACCAATCCAATTAAGGGTACATCACTTCTTAGCCTATAGTTTAAAGATCATCATTTTGCGTCAGTGCTTAGGAACTGACAGGTTTTTAAGGCAGTCCTGGGTCTTGCAACATGGGTCTCATGAGAGACATCCGGTTATCTGGTCTGACCCCCACCCTTCGAGTACCTGTATCTGAATTCCTTGCTCAGGGGCAGAAAAACCAGTTATTTTGCAGTGCAGGTTCCTATAAAGTGGATCTGAAAAAGCTTATCTAGACCTGTTCCTTGAAAAACAAGTGATTTTGCAATGCAGGTTCCTATTAAGCTGAGCTAAATTAATTCTGGTGGTAGTCCATTTTGGGCCTGTCCCTTACAATAATATCTAAAGTCTACATTACTTTTTTATCCCAATGATCACCCCATTAATTAATTAAGGAATGAATTCTGCTCCTCCCCCAAACTCAACAGCTTGGTTCACTTCCATACTGACCAGATGCATCAAGGTTATGGATGATGGAACTGGGTAATGGAATTGTTGTTATTGTGGTGGAAAAGAGGGTTGCAACAAATAAAATCTGAAATAGCATGTGTCAAGTCACTAGAGTGAATTTTTAATATGCAAATCTACTTAAGGTACCTTAGAGGACATATATATATATATAATATCTCCAGGGCCAGCCAGGAGGAGGACGTGATGGCTCTCCCCCTAGCCGCCTGGATTCTGGAGGGCCCCCTGGGACCAGTTGTCCAGCTGGCGTGGCCCAGGTCATGGGGCAGACGATGGAGGAAATGAGGGACAAAGCTGTTGATTGTACAGATGCCGTTTATTCCATTCTCTCTATGAGCCTGCCCCAGTCTCTCTGAGCTTCCCATTCTAGTCTCCACTTCTCCTCATTCCCATCTCCTCCTGTCTCTCCCGCTCATCTCTCTGTGCTCCATTTCACAGCCTGGGCTCTCTCTCATCATGTACCTACTCCTCTTTCTTCTACATTCTTCTCCCTCTGTCCCCCTTGCTAGTCTCTTCGCACTCCATCTTGCTGCCCTGTTCTCTCTCCAGCTCTCTCCCTCTCTTCAGATCTCTTGCCACTCCAACTCCCCAGCACTCTTGGCCTATACTACCCAGTCCGGTAGCAAAATCAACATAAGAAAGCCCTTCCTGAGGGCCCACCAGGTTGAAAGAAAACAACACCAAAGAGGTATTTCAAAGCCCTTCCTGACAGCCTCAGGCAAAATACATCTTAAGGTGTTTTTCTCCTCTCCTCAGTCCAATAATTTTATCAACATCCTAATACTAGTTATTTTTGTATGGACACAGTAAGAGATACACTGAGGCTTGTAGGGCAGTTTTCCTGGGAACATCTTGCCTCAGACTCAGACTACAGAACACAGGCCAGATTAATCTTTCCTAATCCTAGCAGGGTCCGAATCTAGTTAGTACTTTTTGGATCATGACAGTATTTGTCCATGTTCAAGCTCTTAACTTATAGCTAAGCATTGGGCACTTTGGCCAGGCCCATTTCGATGCCAGGGTAGCACACAGTTTACCGCTTGCCCTGGTTCCATCCAGTCCCTCCTAGGGACCCTGTCTTTGGGGGTTCTAGGAAGCAAGGGCAGCTGAGATTTAGGCTGAGAACAGATGCTGAGGAGGAAACTATCACTGAGAGTCATGTTACAAAAGCATGGCACATACTGTCTTCTTGAGTCTGCACAATAAGGACATTTCTCTGAGTAAACTATGCAAAGGACTTAAGGAGAAGAGAAAAACAACATTTACAAGTCAACAGAGCACAAAGAAAGAAGTAGCAAAAAAAACACACACAGGAATGAAAGCACTGTGATGGGAGCAACCCAATAAACCTAAACTACCTGAGGCTATGCAGGAAGGACAAAACAATGTTATTCTACACACATACTCAGTAAACTTGGTTTTACTTGAAACTTCTATAGGAAAAAAAATTTCTGTCCTGGACTAGCTCTTATTTCTTATTGTCTATCAGCACTCAGTGGCAGATATAAATAGACAAAACTAGGTTCATTTTGGGCCAGAGATGCTGGTACCTTCTTCCTCTTATCTTCACTGTTCAGGAGTTCACATCCAGATTCCTCACATTTCATATATAATTCTTCTTCAATTGTTCTCTACAAATATTTATTCTTCCTGTTTTCATTTACCATTAAGTTTCAATGTAAGATGGTGAAAGAAGAAATGGATAAGATATTATTCATCTTGACAATTGTTTTATTAACAACCAGAATTTATTAATACTTATATTAATACAAATTGTTAATAATTATTCAAATTACTTAAACTACAATAATTAATATTAATAATGGCATTGCTACTAATAATAAATAACATTTAAATGAATAATAAAAGTAATTAAGGCAAAGAAGAATAACTCATAATTTGTTTATTAATGTAATCACCTTTCCATAGCTGATTTGGCACTGTATTTTTTAATTAAGGATGAGAAGTAGCTGGAGTGCTCTGCATATATGTGTGTGTGTGTGTGTATTTTTATGTGTGTGTAATTTCAAGAAGGATAAACGCTCTAATTCAAAGCAATCATTTGTTTTGTGTTTTGTCTTTATTTCCTTACTTTTGCATTCACTCTTCTTGTCTTTTCTAAAGCCTCTTCCTCTGCCCCCCCCCCCCAATTATATTAGTAGCAGTGCATCATGTACTACAAGTTCTTACATTTAGCAACTGTGCTCAAGGGTCTGTGTCCTGAATGAAAAATGAAGGCAAAGTCACAATCGACAAGCTAGAGCTAATTTCAATGGTGGATCCCCAGTGAAATTTGTACTTATGCTTTAAGTGTCTGGTCCCATGAACTACTCTTGTCTCTTTCTGTTTTTTCCCTAAGCTTAAAGATTGATTTTATTTATTTATTTATTCCTTTTTCATGAAACTGAGGGATACAAAGTTACAAAACTGTTTATGGTTGGGTTTCAGTCATACAATGTTCCATTATCCAATCCTCCACCAGTTTACATTTCCCATCACCAATGTCCCCAGATTCCCTCCCACCACTTCCCCACTTGTCTCTATAGCAAGTGCGTTTCTTCTCTCTCTCTCTCGTTCTCTCTCTCTCTCTTTCTCTCTCGCACGTGCGCACTTGCTCGAGTGCATGTGCGCACACACTCCCTCTCTCTCTATCGGCATATTGGTTTGCAATACAGGTATTGAGAGGCCATCCTGTTTGTTCCTCTACCTACTTTCAGCCCACAGTTTTATTCCGAATGACAATTTCTAACTATCTTGTCATAGTAGTCCCTTCTCTATCCCAATCGCCTTTTCCCCTAGCACTTGAGGCAGGCTTCCAACCATGGACCTACCCTTTTGACCCTTGTTTCTACTGCTCTTGGGTATTAGTCTCATATTATGTTTTTTTAGTATCTCACCCGCATGGCAGAGCCTGGCAAGCTACCCATGATGTATTCTATATGCCAAACATAGTAACAACAAAGTCTCCAATGGAGATGTTACTGGGTCCGCTCGAGGAAATCGATGAACAACAGGAGGACAGTGACAGTGACAACTATTATATCATTGTCTAGAAGAGAATAAGCTATAAGCTTTTTGGATTATTCACCTGTTACTTACTTTGAGATCTCTGAAAACACTAATAATATGTAATGGCATCACATTTCTTCTGCCCTATTTATTTCTTCAATAAAATTACTTCAAAGTGAAACTTATTACTTAACCCATGGGCCAAAGACTGAATGCTATATTAGCAGGTATAAAAATAAAATAAATGTCTTTATCATCTCCATAAGACCTCTTGGGTTACCAGATTTACTGTCAATAAGTAGTAATGGTTTGAAAGGAGTTTTTTTTTTCCTGGGCAAGTAGGTCCCAGTAGCAGATTTCAGATATTCAATAAACTATATGATAAACCGATATGCTATTTTTATTCACTTATAAGGGGCAAGTAGAGTAGGTTTAACATAATTATTATAAGGATCCTAGGCTTTTCAGGATGGCAAATAAACACTGACCTATTTAAAGTCAGTTGGCTTGTTCTTTGAAGCCATAATTGACTTCTCCATTGCTGTGAAAGGTCTAAATCACTTCTCCAGTATATGTCTGTTTGCTCTGCACTGATTATCTGTTTTGAGGTATAGCCACCTACATCTAATTTCTTAGCCAGATATTGCTGGATAACTTGCTGTCACTTTATGTTTACACTGGCCGCTTCACTTTGCATATTAATGCTGTGTGTCTGACTTCTTCATACACTTGTATTTCATTCGGAAGCCATTAAGCCCTTGTCTGAGTACATCAGGGGTATAGAGTATGAGGTGTCACTCCAAGAATTCTAAAATATTAAACATGGTGATACAGCTGAGGTAAATTTAATTTTTTTTAACTTGATGGTGACTTTGGGGTCCAGAGGCATCTCTATGGTGTGTTGCTTTTGTGTTTCTCTTTTCCAAGTGATTTCCATAAGTCTCTGGATCATGCCCACTAATGAGCTTTAATGGTACCAGAGGCAGTTGATGGGTGTGACTGTCAGACTACTGAAAACACAGGGAGATGAGGGAAGCTCACCCATTCCTGACTCTGCAAACCCGGAGATTTCAGTCACAAGTCCTGAATACCTGGGTTTTTCTGCAGATTCATTCATGGATGAGGCTGATCCAAACCTGTAGAAATCGGTCATTGAGCATGGCAGCAATTGAGTTCTGGAGGTTTTTGGCTGCTAGGACTCTGTTGGGGCTGGTATGTGTGTGTGTAGGGTGAGGGGACTCACCCACTCCCTTCCGGGTTTATTAGATAGCCTGGTGCAAGATCCAAAGGCATCTCTGTGGCATGTTGCTCTGTGTTGCTCTCTTCCGAGAGATTTATTTCTGATTCTCTTTTATCTTTCTTAAACTAAGGTAAACTCTGATATCGCTTGAAAAGGAAAATATACTTCTACTTTTAGTTTTTATTTAAGTTAAATACATAGATTTATACTTTAAATATGTGTTCACTTGGAACATTAAGAATAACGAAATGAGAAGAGAAAAATTGAACATACACATATTTTCTGATTTTGCTTCTGGTGGTGGTTATGGAATCTATGTAAGTAATGGCTCTTTTATGATCTTCAGGAGAAATCTAAGGATTTTTAGGATTCTAAATTTGTTACATCCTGGCTACAGGTTCGCCATATAATGATCTTTCTTCTGTTAGATTTAGTATATAAAAAGGAAATTAGAGTAGGAAGTGTAAACGTTTATTTTGGAGATTACCACAGAACAAGCCCAGGAAAGTCTTGTGTATTTAGTAGTCTTAGCTTCCAATTTCCTCCCTCCAATGGACATTACTTCATGGTTGCAGAATATTTCATTAAAACAGTCACTCCTGATGTTTAATGTTGGGATTAACTGTGCTGGTGCATGAGATGTGTTCCTTATCTACTGAAAGCTTTACTTCTTATCAGTTTCAGATGCTTTGGAGAATTCCCAACTCATATCTAAGCAACTTTCTTTTCTACTCATAAAATTTGCTTTATTGCATGGTATGTTATTCCCTTAATATTTGCCTCAGTTGATTATCTGTTCTTTGTTCTTCATATCTTGAAAAAAGTTGGTTTAACTCTGAGAACACATCCTCAATAAAATATTTGGTGGAAAGCTATTCCTGTATCTGAAATTGCAATGACAATGGACAATAACTTTATAACCTGTTGTGTTCTAAGATGCCATTATTTCTGTCAAATTTGGAAATCAACTTTAAAGTAGACTAATGAAATCTAGAATTGGTATGATTTTTGAAACTATTTTAAACATAAATTCTAGTATAGCCCTACTTAAGTTATGTTGAAATTTTCTTGATAAGCTAATTAAATAAAAGTCGCATCAAGTGTTCTGCATGTAATCATAGAAGAATTTTTTTTAAAGAATATCTCACTACCTATGTCTTTTTAGAAATTGTAATAAAGAAGCCTGAACAATATCTTGAAATATCAAGTCCATTTCTGAATTATAGGATGACTCCATTTATAATTCCAAAAGAAACGTGAGTATATGACCTTCTTTCCCACCACGGACTCTCATAATCAGAAAAAAAATATTTTGTGGGTTTTTGTATGTAAAATTAACACTAAATTGGTACACTTTAAAGAATAGTAATTGTGTGTGTGTGGTGGGGGGAGAGTCAAAATCTATATATTAAATCTATTTAAGGCTGCTTTTGTGAACTTGCATGACTTGTAACTCCACTAATTTCTTCATTTAATCAATTTTGTTCCCTTGGTGTATATGCCCTGAACTGATTGCTTGTCCCTCATATAATTCACATTTAAACTCTAATGTCAGTGTAGCTGTACTTTGAAATGAGGATCTGAAGATGTGATATGAATGAACGTGGGCCTGGAAACAGTGCCGGCCTCAGAAAGCTTGGGAGAGTTTTTTCCTCTTTCCCCTTCCATGAACCAAGAGCCCCGTGAGGAGACAGGGAGAAGGGGGCTTCTTGCAGACCACAAAGAGAGAACCCTGCTGGAAAATGACCCTCCTGACATGCTGGTCTCAGAATTTCTAGTGCCCCAAATGGCAAGAAATGAGTCTGTGGTTTCAGCCTTACACCTGAGCTCTTATTAGTTATGACATCCTTGAGCAGACTGAGACTACAAGTTCTTCTACTTCTCTTGACTGTCCAGAGAGGAAACACGTCCTGCCCCACCTAGTCATCAGCTTAGGAGGAAACTAAATATGGAAGTAAATACCTACAACAGAGTGTGATAATTGCCATTCCACGATCGGTTTCAAACACTGGAGTATTCACTCTGGAGTGTACAGTATGCCAGGTTCTATAGCGGTAGCTCAAAGAACTGGTTTTGCAGAGGTCAACTAGAAATGTATGTTTATAATCATAATTATATGACATTATATGATTCTCATACCAGCTATAGAAAACAAAGTATTTCACAATGCCTTTTCAGGAGTTCTGATTGTTGGTGAGGGGGGAATTCTAAACAATAATGGTGCATCTTTTGTCTAAATAATGAATGTAATCAAAGCAGAGAGAGTTAAGTAGAAATCATCAGCCTCACAAGCATTGGGAGGGGTGAGAGTGGGGTATTTTGGGGTTCTTGGTGGTGAAAAATAAGTACTGGTGAAGGGAAAGGTGTTTGATCATTGTATGACCGAGACTTAAACCTGAAAGCTTAGTAACTTTTCCCACAGTGATTCAATAAATAAATATAAGAAGAAAAAATGTATATTTAGAAGTCCTGATGTCAGTTGTTGGCAGGAGGGGGAAGAAATTGCCCCCTACCTGTGCTGCAGATGATTTTGCTGATTGTCATGATTCCCCACCTTCTTGGTGTCCAGAGAATATTTGGTGTTTGAAATTCTGCCCAGCTTCCCTTCCCCATCGCCTGTGTGCATCCTTTGATTTTAAAACTTCACATTAGGACTACTTGGCTTGAAGGGAAATGTGGAGTCAGTTGCTCTGTAGTGATTTCATAATTAGCTTACCTGCGTTTTTTGCAGCTCTGCCTGTTTTTCCCTAGCAGCTACCTGCAACGTTTTATTGAAAAGGCGTCTGTTTGTGCCATCGCCAATTTTGAAAGTCCTCATGTCATCTTATGGGATTGTGGGATTCGTTGCCTCGTGAGATTTTTATCATCAGTCTACACTTAGCTTCATCTAAGGAAGACATTGGAGTTCTAGCCTTGGTACTCTTGTTTGGCTAATTCTGCTTTTAAAAAATGTCACCTGAAACTGCAGTGGTATGAGAGGGATGAGAAGGATACATCTGCAATCAGTATCTTACCTTGAACTAAGATGTATGACTGATTATGATTTCCTTTGCTCTCATTTTCCATAGCTGTTTGTTTCTCTTTCGTCCTTACTCGAGATAAAGAGCATAGTTTACCTTGGTTTCCTCCATGTTTTTAAATTTCCTAAAACCAAACAAATACCAAATGAGAAATACACCAGCGTTTTGGGAAATATGAAAGATTTTCTAATCATTTCATAGAAAATGTGGCGACTGGAGTGAGAGCAAAGCGGATAGAGTGTTTGCCTTGCACATGGCCAACTTGGGTTTGATTCCCAGAATCCCATATGGTCCCCTGAGCACCGTGAGGAGTAATTCCTGAGTGCATGAGCCAGGAGTAACCCGGGTGTTACCCAAAAAGAAACAAAAATAAAAGAAAATGTGTTTAGATGGAGTCATGAATTATACTTTGGTCATATTTGAGCAACCCCACTAATACTACAGTTATCTCAAATCATTGTTCCACTAGGGATTTCAGTTGGCTCTCACACCCACTAAGTTTCCCATCATTTTCCTGTAGGTCGCCTCTGCCTTTTTTCATGCCCCCACTTCTCTCCTTCTTATGCTTAGTTCTCATTAAGAGAGCAAGTGGGCAAATTTGAACAAAAAAGCCTGATTTAAAAAAAAAAAGCAATGCTTCGTTTTTAAAACAAAAGTGCATGCTTCACACATTTGTGGAATATGAAGTAGCATAATATGAGACTAACACCTAAGGCAGTTGGGATGGAGAGGGAACCACTAAGTAAATGATGGCTGGAGGGATTGCACGGGATGGGAGATGTGTGCTGAAGGTAGACCGAGGACCAAACACGAAGGCCACAGAGTATCTATAATGCCCCAAATTAGAGAGAATAAGAAGGATGGTACCTGCCACAGAGGCAGGGAGGGGGGCGATATGGGGATGGAGAGGCAAGACAGTGGGAAAAATAGTGGTGGAAAATGTGCACTAGTGGAAGGATGGGTGCTCGAGCATTGAGTGACTGAAACATAATCATGCAAGTTTGTAACTACATCTCACAGTAATCCAATAAAACTTCTTAAAAAAACGTGCTTGCTTCTAAAAAGAAGTCTGGTAGAAAAAGCAATGGTTTGGTTTTATTTTTTTATTTTTTTTCCCTTTATTGTATTTTATTTTTTTTTAAAGTTGTAGATTTACAATTTTTTGTGCTTTGGTTTCAATTATACAATGATCAGATACCCATCCCTCCACCAGTGCCCATTTTCCACCACCATGGATAATATCCCTCCCACCCCCATCCCCCCATCCCCCCTGTCTCTGTGGCAGGGCAATCCCCTGTGTTCTCTCTCTCCTTTTGGGTGTTGTGGTCTGCAAAAGAGGCATTGAGTGGCAAACATGTTCAGTCCATAGTCTACTTTCGACATGCATCTCCCCTCCTGGGAGGATCCTCCAAACATCCTTTATTTGGTGCTCCCTTCTCTATCTGAACTGCCCTTTCCTCTAGGATACCCGGCTGGCCTCTAAGTTATGGAGTAATCCTCCTGGTGCTGATCTCAGCTATTCTTGGGTATTAATCTCTTACTTTGTTACTTTATATCCCCCAGATGAATGCAATCTTTCTATGTCTATCCCTCTCTTTCTGACTCATTTCGCTTAGCATGATACTTTCCATATTGTACCACTTGTATGTAAATTTCATGACTTCATCTTTTCTAAGAGCTACATAGTACTCCATTGTGTAGATGTACCAAGGTTTCTTTAACCAGTCATCTGTTCTTAGGCACTCAGGTTTCTTCCAGTTTCTGGCTATTGTAAAGAGTGCTGCAATGAACAAACAAGTGCAGATGTCACTTCGACTATACATTTTTGCCTCTCTGGGATATATTCCCAGGAGTGGTATTGCTGGGTCAAATGGGAGCTCAATTTCTAATTTTTTGAGAATCGTCCATACTGTTTTCCAGAAGGGCTGAACCAGTGGACATTCCCACCAACAGTGAAGGAGTGTCCCTTTCTCGCCACATCCACGCCAGCATCGGTTGCTTTTGTTCTTTTGAATGTGGGCTAGTCTCTGAGGTGTGAGATGGTATCTCATTGTGGTTTTGATCTGCATCTCCCTGATGATTAATGATGTAGAGCATTTTCTCATGTGCTTTTTTGCCATTCGGATTTCTTCTTTGAGAAAGTTTCTGTTCATTTCATTGCCCCATTTTTGGATGGGGTTGGATGTTTTCTTCTTGTGGAGTTTAACCAGTATTTTGTATATCCTGGATATCAACCCCTTGTCAGATGTGTATTCGGCGAATATCCTTTCCCATTCTGTAGACTGTCTTTGTATTTTGGTCACTGTTTCTTTGGAGGTGCAGAAGCTTCTTAGTTTAAGATAGTCCCATTTATCTATCTCTGTTTTCACTTGCTCGGCCAGTGGCGTGGCATCTTTGAAGATACCATTAGCTTCAATGTCATGGAGGGTTTTGCCAACTTTATCTTCAATGTACCTTATGGTTTCTGGTCTGATGTTGAGGTCTTTAATCCATTTTGATCTTACTTTTGTACATGGTGTTAGGCAGAGTTCTGAGCCTATTTTTTTGCATGTAGCCGTCCAGTGATGCCAACACAATTTATTAAAGAGGCTTTCCTTACTCCACTTCACATTACTTGCACCTTTATCAAAGATTAGATGAGCATATGATTGAGGAGAGATGTCAGTGTATTCAACCCTGTTCCATTAGTCTGCAGTTCTGCCTTTGTTCCAGTACCATGCTCTTTTAATTATTACTGCTTTGTAGTACAGTTTGAAGTTCGGGAGGTTGATTCCTCCCATTTTCTTTTTCCCAAGAATTGCTTTAGCTATTCGTGGGGGCTTATTGTTCCATATAAATTTCAGGAGTGTTTGCTCCATTTCTTTGAAGAATGTCATGGGTATCCTTATAGGGATTGCATTGAATTTATACAATGCTTTTGCTAGTATTGCCATTTTGACAATGTTAAGTCTCCCGACCCATGAGCAGGGGATATCTTTCCATTTCCTCATGTCCTCTTTTATTTCCTGAAGTAGCGTTTTGTAGTTTTCTTTGTACAGGTCCTTTACTTCCTTAGTTAAGCTGATTCCTAGATACTTGATTTTCTGGGGCACAATTGTGAACGGGATTGTTTTTTTCATGTTGCTTTCTTCTCTCTCACTGTTTGCGTATAGGAAAGCCATGGACTTTTGGGTGTTGATTTTATAACCTGCAACTTTACTATACGAGTCTATTGTTTCTAGGAGTTTTTTGGTGGA